GTACTGACGGACTTGTGTATTTCAACCTTATGATTTACAATGTATGAGGCCCGACTCGGCTGCCCGAAGTATAGACTTGCACAAGTCTCTATGGCTAGAATTATTAATTTAAATCATAATTTCTGGATTATATAAACAAGTTGTCCCTATAAGAGACTGGCGTCCAGTACTGTCGGTTTATCTAGACTTGCCTGTAATAAGGAAAGAATTACTAAACATCAATGGACTTACCAGTCAGTACAGCCTTGGAGCAAGGCTACCCGAAGTACAATTGCTGGAAATCAGGAATAGCTGAAAGCGGCGTAATACCATGGGGGGTTCAATGACGTTCATATGAGCTTATATACTGATGAAAAGTAATAAGGGAACGGCTATGACTGGTAACGTGTTTTGGCATGACGTTTCGTATGTATACTAAAGATAACGGTAGTCTATTTTGACATGCCCCAAAATATTTATTTATGTCAATGAAATAGTCTCATATACACCCCGTCGAATATGACAGATATTTTGAATCAAGTAAAATGTATCGCGAGTGTAGGGTTTTTGGGTAAGATGATACACTAAGACAGCCAGCACCACCCAATCCATTTTGTAGCCTCTAATCACAAGCATAGTGGGAATAATGGTGATGTGTGAGAGTAGTGAGTGAGTATGGTTTTACGCCCTTTTCGCAGTATTCCAGCCATAACCCAGAAATGTGCTTAACACAATTGACCCATTTGGGGAATCGAACCCAGGTCTTCTGCGTGACAAACGAACACTTTAACCACAAGGCGACCCAACCTCTCCTGTGTGAGAGTAATGACGATGGGAGTTTGTTTGTTATTGAACACTCGACGGTGGTTCGCAAATACTCGAATCAGAACCAGAAATGAACATCGATCTATGCAATTGGGATACGATGTCATACATCAACAAAGTCAGCGAGTCAGGATCACCCGATCCCGTTAGTCGCCTCTTACGACAAGCATGGGTTGCTGAAGACCAATTCTAACCCTGATCTTCACAGGTGACGATGAGTGATGTTCTACGTCGCTTTTTTTTAAATATTCCACCAGCGTGAGAAACCAAAAATGGGTTTAACATTGTACCTTTTGAGAAATTAAACCCGGGCCTTCGGCGTGACGAGCGAACGCGTTAACCATTAGACTACCCACAGCCTCCGTTGGCGATGACCTTGCTGTGCAACCTTCATAATGTCATTAATTAATATAGCAACGGCGACAAAGTCGTTGCGAGCCATGTGGGGGCGACACCACAGATGCCTGACCCCTGGGCTGGGTGCCCGACCCCTCATCTCATCTCTCATTTATATCGCTAAGTTTGCGCCGCTAAGTAGGGTTCGTGCAGACGGTGAGCCTGTCACGCACGAGTAGGGGCTGAAGCGGCTTGAGGGACTGTCTCAGCAACAGGCAAACTTTGATCTTCCGTGGAATCACATGGGGCAACGCTGTTAGCTTCTTTGCTCTCGAAAGTGAGAATATCGCTGTCTGATAGCCAGGATACCGACGTTGCTACAAACACCACCAGGGTGTATACCTCGTTGTCAACGACATAGCGACATCGTCGACCACGGTATCTCCCACCACGTGACCTCCCCGTACCTAATCCGACCCGTCATGCTGCGACGGCTAAGTCCACCACTCAGTCGACTCCATAGGTAACCCGCAGCAAACACATTAAGGTCGGAAATACTTAACTGCAGATGATAACACTAATCTTCCTTCTTGTCGCGGACAATTAGGGACGTTTGATAAAAGCAAAACATTCACACGAATTATCTGCCCTTGGTCAATGGCGTTTGCGTCTTGACTAGATGGTAGCCACTGAAGTCATGGGATTGGGACAGACTTGCACAAGTCTCTTAGGCAATGGTTATAAGTTTAAATCATAATTCCTAGATTATAGAAATACTGAGAACAAGTTGTCCCTACTAAAGACTTGCGTCCTTATAATGTCCGCTTATCTAGACTTGCCTATTATAAGGATAGAATTACTGTACATCCAATTGGAGCAAGGCTAGGTTTGGTTCTTCTATTGATATACAGTAAACTACGTTTATAACGAACACGATTATAACGAAGTGACGGATATAACGAACTTACTTTTTTTGCCCCGATTATTTGCTGTAGTTATACTGTATATATGCTTATAACGAACTACGGTTATAACGAACTAAAATTAGTGGTCCCTTTGAGTTCGTTATAACCGTAGTTAACTGTAGATTGTTTTGTTTGTTGTTTAAGGCTGTACACAGAAATATTCCAGCTGTATATGGCGGCGGTAAATATATAATCTGGGCCAGACAATCCAGTGATTAACATCATGAGCATCGATCAACGCAATTGGATACGATGACATGCATCAACCAAGTCAGCGATCCTGAGCACCCGATCCCGTAAGTCGACTCTTGGGACAAGCATAGGTTGCTGAAGATCATTTCTAGCCCGATCTTCACGTGGTATATCTATATATTTGTCTTGTTTACTTGTTTTGTTTCGTTTTGGAGAGGACTGATGCTGCACCTCTTTTCTTCACGTACAGAAGAGTGGGTAAGTGAATGTTGTTTTACGCAGATGTCAGCAGTGTTACAGCTGTGACGCTAGCCTGGAAATAGTTGAATCTTGGCTTGGCTGTTCTGTGGTTGAAAGCACGAGAAACGATCCTTGCCGGCAGGACACCATGTCACGAAAACATATCATGCCGGACACGCATTGTGACCATCCAATACTCATTGCTACAATCATACAAAGATAAGAGTGAGTGAGTGAGTTGGGTTTCATGCCGTTTAACAGTAATCCAGTTATATCGCGGCGTGTCAGCTTGATGTGGGAGGAAAGCCCGAAGTGATACGGGTACCAGAAGTTACCACTTTGGTGAAACCCACGAGCACGGGTATGGTGCTGACAAGGCGAGAACAAGACTGTAATGTCCAGGGAGTACGTGTACGTGTCTACGTGTGTGCGTGCGCGAGTGCGCGAGTGCGTGCGTGTGTGCGTGCGTGCGTGCTTGAGTAATGAACTATCCAGCAAACGACGTTCTGGACTATTTCGCCTCTACACGAATATGATGTTGAAGTTTTAAAAAACCCATTATGTTTGACAATCTACCACACACATACAACCCCATCAACCACCGCTCCCCCACCCCTCCCTCCCTCCCTCCAACCTCTTCCCTGGTTCAGGGTTACGCACAGCTACCCACGTGTACGGGCCGGGCCGTCTTGGTTGAAATCACCCCGAAACTTTACATCCTTCCATGCCCAGAACATTAAATCGAGCCCCCATAAATATAGTGATATCATAACACAGGCATAATCCCTGACCTAACGAAGCGGAAACTATGCGACGACATTCTAAACTACAGAATAGGGAGAGGTGTATGAAAACATTGCATAGTTTAACAGACAGTCTACAACCGATGTACGGAAAAGGTCACACGCAACGTAACCCCAAGTTTATGTTTTTTTCAAATTTTCACATCGTGTGTCGTCATGGATTATTCACGGTTCGCGGTGTTTGTAATCTGGGTCCATTAATCTTAAGAGTGCCCATTTAAAAATGAAATTGCTTCGTTTGGAGGCTGGGGCCATGGAGTGGCCCTTTCGCGTCATCCAGCATCAATGCCGGTTATTCATGATGCGAGTCTTTTATGTTTTTTCACCATTAACGCTAACCAAAATATCATTTCGGAAATGAAACCCCGTATCATGTGTCGTTGATGCTGTTCATTTGTTAGCAAATGACAAGATGGTGAAATTGGAATAATTTAAAAAGTAGAGTTAATTTTCGAAGGCTATGGTGTGGATCCAGGTCAATGTATATGGAAGTTCAAGCGTGTGTTATGAGACAGGTATTGATGTCGCTTTTAAAGGAACTAGGCAGTACGTACTTAGTTTATATTTTACCACGTATGTGGTCTTTTCAGAGTTAAATCAAGATGGTTTTGAAAAGCTGTTATAACAATATACTGTATGTACAATAATTCTGGAACCCTTTCGGGAAGACTTTCTCCCTTTCCCTCAACCAAACAGATGAAAGTGTTCACCATCTCCTGGGGATTGGAACGAGGGAAACTTGTGCGAAAGATTGAGTCTTTAACTTCATCTGCAAGGTGTCATTATTACTCTACATGTTAATGTAGCATCATCTCCAGTCTCGGTAGTCGTGACTGTGGCGGGCTGCTGTTGCTGCTGCTGCTCCTCCTGATGTAGAGGCTGAAGTAGCCTTGCTCCATGGCTGTACTGAAAGAAAAGTCCATGGATGTGCAGTAATTCTATCCTCACAATAGGCGAGTCTAGATATGTGGACAGTACATAGGGACAACTTGTTCTTATTTGTTACATAATCTAGAAATTGTCATTTAAACTGATAATTATTGCCCTACAGACTTGTGCAAGTCTAAGATGGAAGAGGACGTGGGGTGAAGTAAGTGTTTTGTAACGGATTAGCAATAGATAACCTGAAATATATAAACTTCATATGAATTGTTCGCTTTGTTTGGTGTTTAACGCGGCACTCGCCAATATCCCAGCTATATGACGGCGGTCTGTAAAAATATCGAGTCTCGACCACATATTCCAGTGATTGACATCATGAGCGCTTGCTAAAACTGTATCATCAGTAAAATAAGTTTAGTGAGAAAAGAATGTGTTTTTTATTATCTCAATCGTTCCTGTGTATCATCCGTTTGGAAATGTGAACAAGAAAGTATCCCGTCACCCAAAAATCCCATGACTGCACTAAATAATTACAACGTGAACGCCAGCGAGCCATACCATGTACGTTGTGGCTGGCTATGAGGCAACGTTAAAGACAGCGACTCGCTGCTTAATTATTATCAGTCGTGTTGATTAAGAAGTGTACAATGAGAGGTAAGATAGTAATCCTCTTGCCGCCAGGAGACAATCTTATCATTGCACTGCAATCGAACACCGCAGGCTTATAATCCACCTAAGCACATTTAGGCTTGTATTTATGTAATCGATTGAGAACAGACGGCCGCTCTCATGTAACCCTTTGTCTTGCTGTAACCTCGTGTGTTGTTCTATGTTGTGGAAACAGGGAGTCTGGTCTTGTTCCGATCGGTGGTTGGAGGGGTTTGTTTGTAGAGGCTGTGCCATCAGAGAAGCTGTGATAGGATAGACAACCAAACAGCAGCTCGACCCCTCTGACTGCGCCATTACTGTGGAGTATCGGCCACACGGCCTGTCGTGTTTGCTCTAAACCTAGGCCCCAACTGTTAGCCAGGCAATCTGACTCGCCACCAGCCCCCATTCACTGAAGGGGGCTCCACACCATAACGTTGTCGTCTGCTACGAGTTGCAGACGTTCATTATCGTCTGCTGGTCGGGAAGTTGCAGACGTGTTGTGTCGTCTGCTTGTGTTGTGGGTGACTTGAGAGCACAATTACCTACAACACATAGCAGCAACGTGAGATAGAGAGGGGCACACGAGAGTTTACAACGCATAAAGTCAGGACAAGGCGACCCTAGCATGCTCGCGGGGAGTCGGATCGCGCTGTGGAGCAGTGAATTCGAGACAGGAGTCTTTCACACAACTGGATAGCTGCCTGTCATTTCTCACTCGTCCGGGACTCATTGTCTACAGTAAGTACAACCCATAGTTGTGTGTCCATGTTCCCCGAGTCTTTTCGACCTCGGGACTGGACAAGACCATGGTATAATATAACATGCCCTGCATTGGTTCTTGTACATAAGAGGGTGTTGCACCATTGCTGAGGACAGAGTAGATTCATTCAATCTTCTGGTGGATAGTTGTAGGATTCATCCCTGGGTAGGAATTATTTATTTCCTATTAGACGATATAAGATGGGTATTTGATACGTGCAGCAGCGTGGTTTTGTCATAGTCTGATGAAGGAGTAAATACTTGGGACAAGGCCAATTACTAAAGCCTTCTGTATAGAGGCTCAACGAGTGTGGGGTTTACACGTCTTATGTTCTTAGTCTTGCTGTATAACATGATATATGGACTGTGAGGTGAAATGGGCTATAAAGTCGCCTTCAAGATTATTCCACTTTTGTAGCGACGAGCATGCACGTGTGTGTGTGTGTGTGTGTGTGTGTGTGTGTCTGCTTGTAGTACGGGACAAATGTCAGTTTTATTGTGTAGCCCACTGAGATACCATGCCGCAGTTTAACATGGATATCCAACTCAAACACAGTATACTGACTCCGAGCCGACAGCTTTTTCTTTATAGGCTTATAAACAACGTGTAGAGTGTAAAACGTAATATATAGACTGTACTAATAGTGACGTACAGAATGATGAATGAATTGTATAGATATGTAGACTGTACACGATGTATGTACTGTAGTAATAAACGAACCGTACAACAAAATTTAGACTGTAATGACATACAGACCGTACAAAATAATATACTACTCAAAAGAAGTTAAAGAACACTCCATCTTTTCATATGGCTATAGTTAATCTGTCATGGGTTGTGGGTATTGCAACACGCCGCCTTCCACTTGAGGGTGTTCTTCTACTTGTTTTGAGTAGTATACTTAGACTAATGATATATAGACCTTACAGCATGATGTATGCATTGTATGGATATATAGACGGTACATAGTGTATGTACTTTAATAATATATAGACCGTACAACAAACTATATAGACAGTAATGATATAGAGACCGTACACAATACTCTTTAGACTGTGTCCTGCCAAGTCTAGATCAAACTAAGCTAAGTCTCGTAACCTTGATGAAAACAGCAAAAGAGGATATGTCCTTCTGAAAAAAAAATACAATTATTTTAAAGAAATGTGTTAGTGTTAGTCTACCTATAGATCGTACATCATGAGTTGTAAACTGTTCAAGGTGATATATAAACTTATAACCTGATATAGATAACAGTATGACATAACATGGATAACATGATATATTAACGATATATATAGCGTGTACTATTCGAAATGGACAAGGCCTATCCTACATAAGAAGTTATTTTTGAAATACCTCCTGAGCTCACCCTGAGACTGGACCACTTCACATCTATAAACACTGTGTGTGTGTGTGTGTGTGCTACACAACAACAAGGACACTACAGTTTTACTCGGGAAGGATTGTACATAAGTTTGATATCGGAGCCAAGGAGACACAGAGATGATAACAGCTTGTATCCGGCAACAATAGTCTACCCCCTTTCTCTGTCTGTTCTATCGTATCCCAATTGCGTAGATCACGGTTCATGATGTCAATCACTGGATTGTCTGGTCCAGACTCGATTATTAACAGACCGCCGTCATATTGCTGGAATATTGCTAAGTACGGCGTTAAACAACAAACAAACAAAACTATTATTGTTAGGTTGTGTGGTGATTCTCTCACACAAACTGTGTGCTTGCTCGCCACATCAATACTGACGTCCCTCCCGTCAGTAATGACTTATAATTCCCCGAACATATATATATCTACTTAGCACTTAATGTAATTACGTAATGTAATACGACAGTAGTTTATTGTCCGTCCTAGAAGTGTTTACTTCCCTTCCGGTTGAGGTGCTAATAAACACATCCATATTTAAAGTAAACGGTAGATTTCATAATCAGTTTAGGAATATATACATTTCAGGGTATACCATACTGCTTCCTATACGCATACACCTAGAGAATAGACACACATTCTTCTGGGCATCTTCCCATTGGATGTAAAAATATATGGGTATTTGAATCGTTAAAACTAATACAGTTGTAGCCATGGTAGCATGCATCCTCATCAGGGTGACCATTAGATTGACATTTAGCCCCAGAAATAACGTTATCTTATTTAAAAATGTATATCTTCGAAATAAAATATATAATCCAAATGGATATCAAAACAATGCTGAATTTATAGAGCTGATGCACACTAGACTTGCCAAATCATTCTAGACTGGAGTTGGGTTCGTATTTTGATTTATTCTCTTTGGTCTTGGGGACAGACTATGCGCCCACTTAACTGTCTAAATGATTTTTCCCATGAATCACTAATTTTGTTTCGGACAAGGAAAACTCCATCCATTATTTGCGTAAGACTTCAGAAATACTTTATATATATATTTTCTGTTGGTATTAACTCTGGGACCCCAAAACTCAAGAGTCCACTTGACTCAAAAAGTATAAGATGCATTAAAATCACTACATTTTTTTCAAATCGAAAATATATACCACCGATTGTTTCCCGGTATGCTTGTAGTTCGGGCTCTCGCCATCACTCCGTGCACAACAGACAACATGGCGGATAACGAGTCATATAAACTAGCCGTTACCTCTACTACAACACACTTGGTTTCTAATCCACCCAACATGCCCTTCGTTCACCAACATACCCTAGTCGCTGTTATCTGCGGGTGGGTACATAATGTCAAGATCCCACCCGATAAGCGAATTGTAATTGCCTTTAAATCACTATCTCGCATGACTTAGATATCATTCGTCATCCCTTGTATTGTACCCCGTGTCACAGCGTAATGTCAAACTGGGACCTGACTAGCTCGGCTTGTTGCCACCCACTGAGGGGCACCGTAAAATAAACCCGCTCTCATTTATATCGACATAATTACCCGTCTGTAGCGTCCAGTACACCCACCCCTCCCCAGTCTCCCCTCGGGGGAACCATTTTGTCTGTGTCACTGCTTAAAATTCTCGTATTAATCTACGTCACTGTGTGAGAACTTATGCGAACTTGCCTCATTTATTACATCGTCAAGACCCTACCCGTCCAAACACGTGCTACTATCAATCTACCGAGACTATCAAAATCTAATTTACCAGGATTATGTAGAATCCTTCCCCATTACCGCATTTTAAGGGCCGCTTCCGTGGGGTTGCCTTGCCATTCTGTTCATACAACATAGACCAGCAATGTCCAAACGGGTCCGTGTTGATATTTGCATTGGTTCCCGGCTCTATGTTGTACTGGCGCATCAAACAAAGCGTTTTTAATCACAAGCCCGACTGACTGTATTAGAGGTTCTGTGATGTTTAAGCTATGAATTTGGTAAGATATTTTCGGAGATGCCACTTGAAAAGAAATTGGGAACATTTACGAGCCATTACACCCTCTTAGACAAATATATATGCGGGATGTTTGTCCAATAAATCGGTGGATATTTTCATAAGGCTCTGTCGCTTGTGTACCGAGTAAATATACCCAAAGCAACATCTCTGGGGGCAATATGTTGGGAGGAATATTTGATTCACATGTGTGTTAATCATTTTGTTGGTTTGATAAATATTACGTGTTGTGCGATGCGGGTGATGTGCTTTGCAGAAGTGTTTAATTTCAAGGCAGAATATTAAAATAGTTAGTGAGAGAGAACTATAGAGGACAAACACATAGGCGTCCGGCAAAGTGGTAGCCGCCGTGAAACACGATGGCTATAAAAGTCTTGCGAGAAGATGATATTGCTTTCGCTATGGACATATATTCTTTTGTTCCTACATCCGAGTCAGTGCCATCGTAAACATACAACATGCACATGAATTCATTTTTAACCTAACATTTCGTGCTGTAACATACCGATGATGAATTATCACCATAAACATATCAAGGTCTAGAATTTTTTTTAAATGAATATCGAAATCGTCATGGCTGGTTAGGCAGAAATCATTTATTGTTTGATAGGCATAAGTTGAAGTTGTTGGTTGGTTGGTTGGTTTTTTAACGCCGCACTCAGAAATATTCCAGCTATATGACGGCGGTCTGTAAATAATCGAGTCTGGGCCAGACAATCCAGTGATTAATATCATGAACATCGATCCCCAGAAGTTGAGGGATGACAAAATAGACACAATGTACGGATAACAACTTCTTTGTATACTGTAAAGGCGCCGTTTCGGTAAAGACCCTGTCGCCTTTACGGTAACCAAAGAGGTTATCCATAGATTGTGTCTACTTTGTTAGAAATCAGTTGTACTGGCACGCTATGAAAACGCAAAATGGAACTTGGAAATAATTTTTAGCGAACTGGGAAAACAAAGAACTTAGTATGTGGTAGGCCTGAAGGTAAGCAACACTGCAATAATAGTGTCCGAGTTTGAATCCTCATTCACGTTGTCATACCTGGACAAAAGCTTCCAGTCTCTTACGTATCTAGAGTCAGAATCTGTGTTTTCAAAGTGTTTCAGTATAAGATGTATTACTGCGTACACTTGGTGTTTTCATGAGTGTTTTGTTACCGATTGATTAATTACTAAACCATTCAAAATTAGTCATTTTGTCTTCCATCTGTGTATAATATAATGTAAATGGTTTTGTTTAGAAATTTGACCCGCAACGTTAGTTGTTTGCCTCAGAGCGTAATGTATTGATCCACCGCCATAGCCAAGGTTTCGGGACAACGAGCTACACAATAATCTATGAACGCTACTTGGAGAATTCAGTGAAGATACTGCTAGAGGTGCCTTGCTGTAAATGTAGAACGAAAAACAACAACGTTGGTGTAGTTAGAAAGGGCGACGCGTGTTTAAAGTGTTAAAGCAGCACTCCAAATGAATCAAGGGGGGCCTGTGCATATTCCCTGCACTGTTCACTGCAGATGCGTGTTGGTGTAAAAGTACGTGTTTTACGCCGTAGTCAGCACTACATTTCTGGTGTC